TGTTGTGAGGGTGCGCCATCCGTATGATAGTTGCATTGATGCTTACTGCTACTTGCGGTATTGCGTCTTGTGATGGATCTGCGGGTGTGCTGCGCCTGATTCGACGCATTCCTGTGGTTCTGGTCGATGGAGGTATACAATTAACATCTAAGTGCCGGTGGTAAGCGGGTTTGTTGTAGCAATACGGCTTTCCCGTGGACATCGCACACCCATACCGTTTGTGGGCGACGTCGTTGCGCATAGCGATGTGTCGTCTATCTTTCGGATTGGGATGATGAGTGTGTTTGGTAGCACTTTTAAGTGTAACAGGCATACTCAACTTCATGTCTTAGTGCATTAGCGCTATGATACGTGGAGTTTTGTTCATTGGCGTCTTAGTAGCGTGCTACTATGATACGTTGGTGATATTTTTTATATAACAACAATACAAACTTTGTTACCAAAGTCGATAGGGGTCATGTGGGTGTGTTGTGAGGGTGCGCCATCCGTATGATAGTTGCATTGATGCTTACTGCTACTTGCGGTATTGCGTCTTGTGATGGATCTGCGGGTGTGCTGCGCCTGATTCGACGCATTCCTGTGGTTCTGGTCGATGGAGGTATACAATTAACATCTAAGTGCCGGTGGTAAGCGGGTTTGTTGTAGCAATACGGCTTTCCCGTAGACATCGCACACCTATACCGTTTGTGGTCGACGTCGTTGCGCATAGCGATGTGTCGTCTATCTTTCGGATTGGGATGATGAGTGTGTTTGGTAGCACTTTTAAGTGTAACACGCATACTCAACTTCATGTCTTAGTGCATTAGCGCTATGATACGTGGAGTTTTGTTCATTGGCGTCTTAGTAGCGTGCTACTATGATACGTTGGTGATATTTTTTATATAACAACAATGCCAACTTTGTTACCAAAGTCGATAGGGATCATGTGGGTGTGTTGTGAGGGGGCGCCATCCGTATGATAGTTGCATTGATGCTTACTGCTACTTGCGGTATTGCGTCTTGTGATGGATCTGCGGGTGTGCTGCGCCTGATTCGACGCTCTCTTGTGGTTCTGGTCGATGGAGGTATGCGGGTGGTGATGTCTGCTGGGATGTATGGGGGACCTTGGAATGGTGTAAGCCCGACGATAGTCGTATTGATGCTTGTTGCTTTCTGCAGCATTGCGTCTCTGCGATGGTTGTTTGGTGGGACGCTATTCTCAATGGCGCTCTCTGCGTCTTGGTTTGACTCACACCTAAGTAGCTTTGCCCAAGTCGGGTCCCTTCATTGCGGGGCTGCAGACTGTTTACCCTCCACGATGTTTTATATAACAACATAATATTATATCTCTGTAACTTTCCCACCTTTGAATGATTGAAGGCAACTTGTTGGTGGGTGAGACAAACATGATCGAAAATGCATTCACTCAGCGTCAGTGACACAAACCCTTTCTGATGGCGAATTATTACTCTTATCTTATAACTGCCTTTTGGCTACATCTGCCATTGTATTGGTTGGTGGAGCATATGTGTCGACCTCATGCGGGTGGTAGCTGGCGGGAGGATCTGAGGAGACTCTCAAGGCTGCGGCCGAAAGCCGCACAACGTGGGACCCCATTCCCTTGAGGTGAGCGGTAGACTCATGACACGCTCTGCGGCTAGTAGCCGTGCTGATCATGCAATTGGTGGTGATGCCATACACTTACATCACGTCTGCAGGAGCGGCGGTCTGGCAGGTGGTGGCGCTCACGGAGGGTTTACGGCCAGTGTGCCTATTTGCCTAAACCGTGTGACGTACATTCACTGTGGCTGGATTCGTTCGTATTCTGTTTGGCGTTTACACGCATTGACATGCGCGACTTCGGTCGATGTTTGTGCTTACGCACTAGCAAGGGGCCAAGCCTCTTTTACTGGTTCGCCAGTTATTTTGCTGTGGACTACGGTCCAGTTCCCGAATTAGCGTTCCCTTCGGGGGGAGTGCATCAAAATGGTTGGCACTCACCGTGCACGGCGTGTGTGGGGCCGTGTACCTCCCCTACATTTTTTTGAAATAAATGTAGGAGAGCGAAGCCCCTTGTATCGGGTATTTTGTATAGATATATTTTGAGCCTTTTCCGAGCGGGAAGGGATAATTAATAATGTAAACCTGATGCAAGTGGAATAGGGACGTTTTATGTTCTTAACCTTTTTTCGAGCCCTGTCTTCGTGAACGGGGTTCACTTAGCTTATAAGGCACTACAAACAGCTTTCAATTGCTCTAGTGAATATTCATTCTTCCAAAAGACACCTAAAAGAACTAAGTTACTAAACAAACACAACGTAAATAAGGGTCCTAACTAAGACGATCACGCCAAATTATTACAAACGGCCTATTATTAAACCTTTAGAAAGATCATTTAGAAAGATCAAAACATAATTTATTAATCCTGGTCACATATATATAATTTTTATCGAAAAGGGGTAAATTAATTATATCTAATATATTTATTATATGAGAGAGGGGGGGAAGCGTTACACTATGATTAGAAATACTCTCAACAGTAACTTAATAAAGAAGTAAGTCACGTGAATAATTCAATGGTCTTGCTATTTGTTGCGTAGTTTCATTTATTTATACTGTTGTGGTCACCTTGCAACATCTCTATTTGAAAATTTTCATATTATTGTGTCCAAATTGAAAATATTTAAAGAAAACGCAGTTTTAACGCCTACTAATAATTTATTGTGTGGTAATTTTTAATTAAATAGTACTACAAATTTAATACTTTTAAGTTTTTTTATTGATTCGTTTTAAAATTTTATTCATGAAATAGTCATTTAGTAAAAGTTACTTATTTTTTTTTTATTTTTATATATAACCATAGCGGGGCCTTAATGTGTAGTAGTGATTCTTTTAATTTCTGAAACGACAAATATGTATAAAGTAAAACTATATGATCTTGAGTTGCTTCAAGGAAATACATACAAATAGTCCCCTGCACGGTGTCATAAGAAAATCAAAATGCATAGTCAGCCCCGTAGGCATCATAGTTGACCTAAATGTGGGAAATACTAGCAATATAACTATCTCGAATAAATAAGACGCCAAATACACAAACCGACGACGATCAATATCATCACTGCAGCCATTCCGCAACAAGTCCGCTGCTAAACATAGGCCGTAGGGTGGTCCCACACTACATGGAGTTACGACCTGGTAAGACACCCAGAAAGTCAATGGATGCAGTGGCTCATAGCCGTGCTTTGTTGCATTCCTTGGGCGAGGCCTATGTTCAGCAGTATGTGTAAAATGTAAATAAATTTATTTAGCACCTTATTAAAAAAACGTTTATTTTTAATCACATTTATTATATCAACTTATATTTTAGTATAAAATCACCATTAATGGGGTAGGTACTCGTAAATTCAACAAACATCTATTATATAATTACCAAATGAAAAGAGTTTGACTCGAATCAGTTTTGGCACTTTAACAATATACTTAAAAATTAATACATCGATGGACCTTAAGTTTGAAATACAACAATTATTTGATACTAATTAACACCAAATAGAAACAGTGAAGACGTATTTGCACAAACAAATCATTTAACACTTATTCATACGCTAATGTAATATTCCTGATTTATTTATTTTATATTAATTGATATTATGTTAACGACGATTTATCGATTCGCTGCAATAATTTAACATGAATAACGGATTATTTTATACTTATATATAGAAAGAGTTAAATACGCAGTATAATATAAAGAACTAACTACATTTGGTATAAGAGACCTTTATCATACAAAAATGTAGACAGACTTGAAAACAGCCCCTTTATTTCTCTAAATAATCCCTGTATTTTGTTATATTACAATAAAATACTTAGTTATTAAAATTATCTTCTAAGAAGACACCTAACCAAAATGAGATTCAATTGGTACCCAATATAAATAAAATATTGAATATATAGGAAATTTAAGTTCTATTTTCACTAAAAATTTGACACGTCTTCTTTAAAATCAATTTCTTAAAGCATTCCGTAAGTACAGTGGAACTAACTGATCCACCACTGATGTTATACGCAATGCTATTAAAAATCGATATGAAAATGACAGAGGCAGGAGTTAATCACATTTAATTGAATTCCATTAACTAAGAGAATAAGTAAAACTTTGTTCAGTTGAGGCGTCGAAAAACGACGCTGCGGTGAAAATTCCCAAACACAACAAAATTGAAAAGAACTGTATTCGACAGCGGAAGTTAAATACAAAGGCAAAACTTTAAAGAGATAAGTCTCAGAGGAGATTAGAATAAACCCGCTTGTTATACAGTATAAGGATGAAACATCAGAAACTCAAAGAAAGTCGAAACTCATCATGATGATGACAAAGGAAAATTACAAAGGTTGCTAGGTACCGGAATAAGAAAATCTACCATTCTTTCTAGCATCCGGTCGTCAAAAAAGTTTATACAGGATAATTCTAAAAACATCTTGTAGTCTTCCACATGTGACAGAGTTATTGTCTCAAAAGGGACTTAAATATCTTTAAAATATGAGGCGTTCAGTACTGCGATCGCCTGTTCACCGGCCAAACGTAGTAATTATGATAAACCTTCGCAACTCAGGAAATACCTGTATCGAAAGGAAATGTAATGGATGCGAATGATGAAATGGAGTGGAAATAGAACGATAATATTTATATTAATTAGTTACTCGGTTAATGAATATTTCTCACTGTTAAATGTTTCGCAAATTTAATATCTTCCGAAAAAATCAATTTAAATGTTAAACATTTATTTGTAGAAGTAACTACATATAAAATATACATGCACTATAACTAGCTAATAATCATAATAAGAGTGTACGACAAAATTGGGTCACATCAAGCCTAACCCTGTGTTCTACCTTGAACTCACTTGAACTTCTTCGATCTCACGAAATAAGTTCGTTAACTTTTATCCTTAACTTTGAAACGTATAATTATCTTTAACATTCTTACTATTAACACTTTGTCTATTTTATATATAAATTTACTACAAAAATGTATCTTCCCTTGCTCTTCCATGCTGCTGATGACTGTTGTTGTGATATTCGTTTTGCCCTTCTGGAACATGAAGACGAACCTTGCGAGAATTGCTATTACATTGATGGAGACGTTGCTTAGGCATCTTTATACTGTCATCATTTAGCTGAAAATAATATTTTAGTCTTAGAATAGTAATAATTTCATTCATTATAACTCACTTATCATTATCATTCAATTTGTTAGCTGAGTAATATTTTATAAAAATTATACACAAACATTTTTTGTGGGTATATATATATATATATATATATTTTTATAGTCCTGCTTGTGCCGGATGTAAAATATCTAGACCATCTACGAGGAGCAGTCATAATCGCATAGTAATAAATATTGATCAACATTATCATCACCATTGTCAACATAATAGCCTATCAAAGTCCATTGCTGAACAAAATAGATTTTTTCTACAGATTACATCTTAGGGGAGATATTTGCCATTTTGACACAGATTTCGGGCAAATAATAGTAGTTTCTTATTAGTATAGGGAGGTTATCAGGGAGATCCTACTGTTCATCTCTTGTTTTAGTTTCCTGCTATCCGCTTCGACACCCATGGTATCGTAAGGTGCAGTGACACGTGTAATGAAACGTAGAGGGGATAGCTGCGAATAACGTATCAGTACGGGGCACGGGATGCGACTGGAGAGCAAATAAGCTCGTTTCAACGATACGCACAGCTAATCATACGTAATAATGCACAATTCGACCATTTTTACGCAATAACGGTCACCAATAGACCTTCAGGCGGCGGTCGACACTTGCCATCAAGTGAGCTGCATGCTCATTTGCCTCCTCTTATATAAGAATTTATACTGGATTTCTCGACCATTCAGGCTGGAGCACAGGAGTCCAATTTATTAATATATTTATTTATCTTTAGAAGAGATGGCAAACAAGCTTGTGGCTCACCTGATGGTAAGTACCGACCGCCACATATGAACAGTTGCAACACCAGGGGAATTGCAGGTGTGTTGCCTGCATTTAAAAGATGTAAGATTGTTTCTTGAAGGTCCCAAAGACTTATCGCTCTGCGAAAATCGGAGGTAGTAAAAAGATAATCGAAAACATCAACTAACGCTCCACTTTCTGTACACATGCAGCACTCTGTCACTCTTGCTATCTGCGTGAAATAATTACCTACCATCGTGAGGCACCTAGGCACCCACCCACATACGCAGTCGGGGCTAGTGAGTTGTACTCGTAGGCGATTGAATGTTAAAGTTTTTAACGCTGTTTACGTAAATATTTTTTTGTAAATACTTGTTGAAATAGGTTTTGTTTAGTGTTTGGTATATTCAATTGTGGGATGAAATAGTTGAAAAAGTTTTAATGTATTTTAAAAATTATATGTATTATGTATATTACCTATTTGATCAATTGTAATGCAAAAAGTGAAAGGTAATTTATTTAATTTTTAGGTACCTAGAGCAAAAAAGAATTAAGTAATGATTTATCTACGGAAATAATACGTACGTACTTTATTACAAAATTTAGTTGAAATTTACTTCACTATCCAAGTATTTAATTACATACCTATACTTGTCTTTTGTAATTAACATATATTAAATTATAATAACACAAAATACCGAAATTAAAACTTTGTTTACTAACAAGATTTTTCTTAAAGTAGAATACGATCATATTTCTGTTAGGAATCGTATTTGAGGTAAGTATATTTGTTGTTTCTTCCGGGCCAAGCATCACGATTCTCGACGAACCGCCTTGCAAGTTGCATGCGTTGGCTATCGCAGAACTCACATAGGTCGAACGAAAATATGGTCAGTCGATAATAATCAGACTAGTTACCTCACCTAAGTAACTTAATTAGTTTCGCGATGTATTTTTTTACTCTTTATTTACATTCCACAGTAACCACGGAAAGTACGCCGTGACTTAGGAAGGAGAAAAGATGAGAATAATATGGACTGATGGACACACGCGCGCAGCGATAAAGCTTTATTTAGCTTGCGTGCGTGATTTATCTAATTAATAATAATAATGTAGGCTATTAAACGTCGACAAGCAGTCAACATCAAAGGAGTGAAATTTCTGTACGTAGTGCTATTATTTATTCTGTGACACATGTGAGTTTGTTATAAACGCGACATATTCTATTAAAAGGCATAGGAATGTTTTAAGAGGTATTGTATTTATAAACTTGTAAAAAATATTTTGGACTTGTCATCGTTTCATATTGTATTAAAATTAAGTAGAAACAAAAAGGTAATTTGAATACTAAATAAAAAATTAACATTTAAATACTATTAATGCTATTAACATTAAGAATATTAACTATAACCACTCTTGGTAAGATTAAAATGCTTGTGTTTAAGAGCGGTTCATGTCACTAGTCGAATGGCGGATTCAGACCCACGAACTTCTGAGCTCGCGTTCCGTACCCTGCCATTAGCCGTCGCTTTATAAATCAAATTCCTCCGATCCTGTTGTTTTCGGCGGATGTATATAATTTTGTACGTTTGTGTATACTGCTTTAAATACGTACTCTTATAGTAAGCTCATGTCTGGTTCTTCTGTGTGATGATGTCAGCAACTCCGTGTGAGCCCTAGACTCGTTACCCGTAGGACTGCCTGTGTTCTTCATCCAGCACCAGAACCATTTATATGGTGGAATGTTCCTGAAGACATTGAATTGATTGATTTTGACATTCTTATATTAAATTCAATGTTGCTCAGGTAGTTACAATATTATGGATCAGAATTTATCACAAGTTTCTAATATGAAATTGTAAGATTGAAAGATGATCAATTGAACGTAACTTATTATTTTAATGTTTCATATAATATGTAATAAATATAATGTATAATATTTAGTTACAGACTTTAATCCTACAATAGTGACATTCTTTAATATTGAATATTGATGTTCTTGATTCTTACAGTTCATGATTTCACTTATATTTTCAAAGAATCTTTGCGACACTTGTTTATAGTAATAAATTGTTATCTTTTTTTATTCTGTAATATCATTAAGGGTCGTTGAAGTTTCTAGTGGGCCCAAAAGCGATTGTTTACTTTAATTTACCGAAATTTACATAGCACATCATCATCATCGTCGTCATTACAGCCCTTCACAAGTCCACTGCTGAACATAGGCCTCCCCCAGTACAGAGCACATAACACACACATATATATATATATATATATATATATATATATATATATTTTGCCGTGTAGTGGCGGTTGAGAATATCCACTACCCCATATCTTCCCGTGGGTGTCGTAAGAGGCGACAGAGGGACACAGAAAGGAGATGGGCAGCAGCATCTTCCTAATAACAACAATAATATAATAAAAAATTGCGGTTGCCAACCCGCTCGTCAAGCGTGGCAACTATGGTAAATATCCCCCCACGAGCAAGACGCAAATACACGGCCCCCAGTCCCTGGTGGCCCCGCTATTCCTGGCTATGGTGGCGACCGAGGTAACGGCGGGGCAGGGGGTGCTAAGAATCTCCGGTGGAGGTTCGGTTGCCACCTACGACAACTCGACCTGGCAACGTATAACGCACGCACCCTGAGGACTGACGAGAAGATACTGGAGCTGGAAGAAGAGGTAGACAAGTTGCGCTGGCATATTATTGGATTATCTGAGGTCCGAAGAGAGGGGGAGGACACGGTAATTCTCGAGTCCGGCAACTTATTCTATCACCGGAAGGGCGAACACCTGTCCTAAGGAGGTGTCGGATTTATCGTCCACAAGTCTCTCGTCAACAACGTTGTAAAGATTGGGAGTGTGTCGACGAGGGTCGCGTACCTGATACTCAGAATCATCAAACGGTATTCGCTGAAGGTCATACAGGTTTACGCACCAAACTCGGCATATCCCGATGAGGAGGTGGAGGAAATGTATGAGGATATTTCCAAGGCCATGCATTCCTCCAAAACCCACTACACGGTGTTGATAGGAGACTTCAACGCAAAACTAGGCACAAGAGAAAGCGGTGAGCTGAAGTTAGGGAAATTTGGAGTAGGGCAATGGGAACGAAGGGGCCAGCAGCTGGCCGACTTTATGGAGAAAGAGGGACTCTTTATGATGAACTCTTTCTTCCAGAAGCAGCCCCACAGGAAGTGGACCTGGTCGAGCCCCGACGGTTCGACAAAAAATGAGATTGACTTCATTATGACGACTAGATGCCAACTGTTCAGTGATGTCTCAGTGATCGCAAGGGTGAAAACCGGCAGCGATCACCGAATGGTTAGAGGCACACTGAACCTAAACGTTAAGTTGGAGAGGTCTCGTCTAATGAAGTCAACGCTCCGTCCCCCTCGTGCTCTGATCCAGAATCCCGAGACTTTTCAGCTCGAGTTACGTAACCGCTTTCAGTGCCTAGAAGATTGCAATGCAGTGGACGATATGAATGACAAGCTCGTGGAAACTGTCCATGCGGTCGGAGCTAAATTCTGCAAGACCCGCCGCAGAAGAACACAAAAACTCTCCGATCACACTCTTAATCTCATGGCTGTTAGACGGGAGATGAGGCTGCAATCGTCAACAGATTTGACAGAATACAGGCAACTGAACAGACAGATCTCCAAATGCATACGGCGAGACTTACGCAACTTTAATACTGCTCGTATTAAAGAAGCGATCGAGCGGAACCAGGGCTCCAAAGTCTTTGCCAGAGATCTGTCTGCCAGAAAGAGCCAACGTCAAAGCTGAGTGTGGCAGCATCGTTTCCGGGACACCTGAGATTTTGAGTGAGATTGAGAGGTTCTATGGGCAGCTGTACACATCATCGTTGGAGCCACACGCAAGTGTGAGTAACGATCCAAGAGCAAGTCTTACCCGACACTATTCCGATGATATCCCGGACGTCAGTCTGAGCGAGATTAGAATGGCTCTCCAGCACCTTAAAACCGGCAGGACCCTAGGCGAGGATGGCATTACAGCGGAGCTTCTGAAAGCGGGTGGAACACCGGTATTTGAAGTCCTTCAGAAGCTCTTCAATTCCGTCCTCCATGGTGGCACTACTCCGGAGGCGTGGAGCAGAAGTGCGGTGGTCTTGTTCTTTAAGAAAGGCGACAACGCTCTCTTGAAGAACTACAGACCGATTTCCCTTCTGAGCCGCGGCTACGTGCTGTTTTCGAGAGTCATAAAGAATCGTCTCGCACGCAGACTCGACGACTTCCAGCCTCCCGAACAAGCCGGTTTCCGAAAAGGCTTCAGTACCATAGACCACATACGTACCCTGCGGCAGATTGTACTGAAGACCGAAGAGTACAATCTGCCACTTTGCCGGGCGTATGTGGACTACGAGAAAGCCTTTGATTCCGTCGAAATTTGGGCGGTGCTACAGTCCCTTCAGCGGTGCCAAGTTGACTGTCGGTATATCGAAGTGCTGAAGTATTTGTACAGTAGGGCTACGATGGCTATCCGACTACAGAACCAGAGTTTGAAACCTATCACACTGCAGAGAGGTGTAAGACAGGGTGACGTTATATGCCCGAAACTCTTCACCACCGCGTTGGAAGACGTGTTCAAGCTACTGGACTGGAAAGGATACGGTATTAACATCAATGGCGAGTACATCACTCACCTTCGATTTACCGACGATATAGTCCTTATGGCAGAATCGCTGGAGGACCTTAGTACTACGCTCAATGACCTCAATGGTGTCTCCCAACGGATAGGTCTTAAGATGAACATGGACAAAACAAAGATCATGTTTAATGTCCATGTCACACCTATGCCGGTAGTTGTTGGGAGCACTATGCTCGAAGTTGTTGATGAGTACGTTTACCTGGGACAAATAGTCCGACTAGGTAAGTCCAACTTCGACCGAGAGGTCAATCGACGTATTCAACTCGGCTGGGCAGCGTTCGGGAAATTACGACACATCTTCTCGTCAGGTATACCTCAATCTCTGAAAACTAAAGTGTACAACCGGTGCGTGTTGCCAGTGATGACTTACGGATCAGAGACGTGGTCCTTCACTGCTGGCCATATGAGGACGCTCAAGGTCGCTCAGCGAGCTATGGAGAGGGCTATGCTCGGGGTTTCTCTGCGTGATAGACTCAGAAATGAGGATATCCGCAGTAAAACCAGAGTGATCGACATAGCCCAACGGATTAGTAAGCTGAAGTGGCAATGGGCCGTACATATAGCTCGAAGAACCGATAACCGATGGGGAAGAAAGGTTCTCGTGTGGCAGCCTCGTACCGGTAGGCGTAGTGTAGGGCGACCCTCCACTAGATGGAGTGACGACCTCATAAGACATGTAGGAAGTCGATGGATGCAGGTGGCTCATGACCGTGCTTTTTGGCGTTATTTGAGGGAGGCATATGTGTTACTTTAAGTATGTTTCTAAGTTACGTTTGTGATGATTTTTATTTGTTCATTTTTAATAACCTGTGTGAACTGAGACAATTAAAAACCTTTATTTTTATTTATTATTATTATCTATTTTTCAATTGTGATTTGTCTTACGAATCTAGTCTATTTCATACTCTATTTTATTAAAAAAAAAATATATTAAAAAAAACGGTTGTAATATATAGGGGTTGTCCCTACTTTATTGTTGGTGGGGAAGGTGGTTTGGCAGGAAGCCAAAGTGAATAAATGTGTGAAATTTTGGGGGGGGGGTGTTGGGGTTTTTTGGGGTGTTGGACGGTGGGGGTTTTGTCTTGGGTGGCATTTTATGGGGATGGGCGGTGGGCCGGGTTTTGCCCGTTTGGTGGTTTTTTTTTAGGGGGGTGTGGGGGTGGGGGTTGGGGGGGCGGGTTTGGGTGGCTTTTGACGATAGCAACTCTAACTCCTGGGAAGTCAAAAAAGAATTTTGCAAACAAACATTGGAGAGGGACAAACTATTTGCATTTTATACTTAGAGTAATTACATACATGTTCTGAAGTCGAATAGAGCCTGTCTGACGGTTGAAAAATTTGTTTATTTACTTTGTCGAATAAACGCTATTTGTCTGCTTATCTGGAGATTGAGAAATCGACCCAAGTTGATTGATTTAACTTTTGACAGAAAACAGGTAAATTGCATACACTTGAATTCCAGCCTTTTTATTTAAAACTTATAAATAGTAAATTTAAACAAATAATCGTATTTTTACACACAAACACACACAAACATCTATGTAGATGTTTGTGTGTGTTGTAAAATATACATTTAATATTATATATTACATGTATATATTTTGTAATATATACATATAATATATAATATATGTATCATACAATTCATATATGTAAACATATTATATTTAATTTGGAATCCAACTGAAGTTAAGCAGATTTGTAACATTCTTATAGAATAGAAATAAATACGTACCTAAGGCTGAGAAATATCCTGTTGGAAAATATAAAGTAGATAACGAGATTTGCAGCATAGTTGAGCGGAGCAAGGCTTCGGATGAGCGATGCGATGGCAATATTGACTTGTGTGTCTGGTATGTAGCCGTAATCTTTAAGTTTATCAAAGATCATGTACGGCGTCACGGCGTCCTACTTAGAACGAACACTAAAAATGTTACATTTAAATGTAGTTTACGAATATATATATATATATATATATATATATATATATATATATATATATATATATATATATATATATAGTTAGTTAGTAAATAGAATTTCAGTTTTATAATTATTTGCAAATCGTAAAAAATTTATATGTAGTATCATTTATTATAGCAAAGGCCCAAATACCACTGGTAAACATAACTACTGTTTCAGCCTTTAAACGACTCGAATTTCTCAGGGGGTCACGGAGCAATAAGTCTGCCGCGCTGTTCCAGTGGATTACTTCACATGCCCGCCCTCTAAATGATATATTTCTAAGACATGCAGGTTTACTCAATATGTTTTTTTACCACAGAAGATATAAAATGATAGTGATAAATTGAATTGAATTGGGTTGCTAGCACTGTGATAATTACAGCGAGCGCTTATCCTGCGAGCTTCTACTTCGACTCTCTATGTTATGATTTGTTGAAACAAGAACTTTTTAATGATAAAAGTGATGTTTTAGTCTTTTATTATATTACTGTGTTAAGCTAATTCTTAAAATATTGTATTGTATTAAAAATCGCTATAACTATGATGTACAATTCTATTGAAAAGTGGCATCAAATCACGTAGCCATTGATTTTTTGATTGATCATGACTAGAAAGAATAGCTAAGGAGATCAATTTGATTGTGATAGATACATTAATACGCGAATTAATAAAAATAGTATTAAAATATAAAAATGAATCAATAAGACCGGGCTGGACCAAGTTTTTCCAATAAACCCCGCTTCGCCGAGGCATTGGGATGAGCCACTCAGTATCCAGGTTCAAAAAAACCTATTAGAAAACTGCGGAAACTCCACAGAGCGAGCTCGTCTTCTAGCATTTGTGGAGAAGGATTCGGTAGAAGATATTTTGGTCAGCGGATCAGCCTCGCAATACAGCCAGTCTTCTGGGCACACTACCAACAGACGGCGGCGAATTAGCAAGTATTTTTTACTTAAGTTAAGCTTTTTATACTCTATAATTTTGTAAAACACAATTATCCTTTAATTTGTTTATCATGTTAATTAATTATTTTTAGTTTTATTAAAATGCATTTTTTGGATAATTTAAAAGTAATAAAATAACTAATTGTGAGTTCATACTGGTAATAATGTAAAAGGGTATCCGACTAACTAAAGAGTTATAAATGTGTTACAAAACTGAAAAACAATTTAAATATCATTAATTTAAAAATATGAAGGATGAATTCAACACATGCATAAACTATTTGATGGTTATATATTTTAAAGTATTAAGTACATTTAACTATAAATAATTTTCTGAAAATCTGAGAAAATCACACATTTTAAAGTTATTGTATGCACTAAAAGGTTTTATAAAAAATAATAGCATAAATATTTGAAAAACATATCCTTATGCTCAGATTTACTTTTATTAATGGATTTTAAGTATTTTAATATAATAATCAAAAGGAAAATAAATGATAATGTCTTTTCGGGGTAACTCAGATTTGTTTTCGGATGGAAGTAACATTCAGTAAAATCTATGTTCCGTGTACGCAGTTTCCGCAATTGTTAAGAGCGCGACTGACTTTGGTACATTGTAAGTATATTATGTGTTATACTTATTAACTTCATGATCAAAATAATTTAAAATGCGGTTGCCGATTCGCCTGGCAGGCATGGCAACTACAGCAAAATCTCTAGAGAGGCCTTTGTTTATCAGTAGACTTTTATAAGCTACACATATTATTATATTCAATTTTCACATTTCATACAATGTTCTCTAATATCGTTCTATTCTATTTTTATAGAGATATTATACAAAAAATAATAATTATTTCATTTATAGATATATGAATACGAAGTAAAGAATATTTATAATTAAAATAAAAAGTACAGAAAAACATAAAAGAAATAAATATTAGTATCTATTAATATCAGTAAGCTACACTTCAATCACACGTAAAAGTCACAGGCACTATTTTCGTATTTTGTTACTTCTATTATTAATTAATGTTTTTTAAAGGTAATAATTGTGTAATAATTTTAAGCACACTACATTAAATACAGGCTATGGAACATTTAGTCTTTAAAGGTATCTCCTTCTTGATCTGAAGTGGGTTACAGGACTGCAAGTGTTACTTATGTTACACTTACTAATTACTGGTGATAGATTTTATTACGTGTACCGATATACACTGTGACCACTGTACAGTGTGAAGTTAATTCTGTATAATGTAAAGCGATTCAATTTTATATTTCTATACTGGTTACTCTTTGAAACGGAACGCAGTCCAGTATACCGTCATCCCCGTTTTTCGACACCGTAATATTTATACCTAATGTACACGTTTTCTATACAACAAAAAAAATATTTGAAAGTTGTTACTTTAAAAACTTATTGTCCGAGTATATTTGAATAACAATACTAATAATAACAACAATCATTCATCAACATCACGTGATCAAAGTACTGAGAGCACCTTACCTCAAGAGCGCTAGTGCACATAGTACAAAAGTGGCGGCGATTTATAACGTCATATCTTTCCCTAGGGTACTGTGGCAGTATACTTACAGTCCATAACGGAACGAATTTTTCACCAATATACAAATAGTATATTGAAACACGGCCGTTCTTCAATAAGGACTAATAATCTAACTAAACTTTGTTACACAATATCATTTTATTCAGAACTTATTTTTAAATAAAATTTACCAGTTTATATAGCATTATACTAATACATAAAACTTCTTTTTTTATAATGTCTATACTTTTATGAATATCTGTGGTTTGAATTATTTATTTTTAATATAATTAATATAAAATAAAACTAATAGTACAGAAAGAAAGATTACCATTACCTTTACATTTTTTGAACATCCCATCCTTAGACTACTATCCGCTATGAAATCTGTCAAAATATTACACTTCAGTGGCGCCACCCTGGTGGAAGAAAAAGTTGTGGATGTCCTCATTGTCACTCATATTATAAAAAGTTCTTACCAAAAACAATAACAAAAGTCATCTTGACAGTTTTTATTTTTGCCTTCGGAATAATGCCACGACTGCTCGCCCGGCGGCTATCCAAGTCATCACTATCTGCGAAATAGTATATTAGCGTAAGTAAATAATAAGGAAATAAAATCAAATAAGGACGTTGCAATGGTTTTTGAGAAATATTTTACTGATATTCCTGTCTTAACCACTAAGTCACTGAATTCTTATCCTTGTACATATTTTACATTTGATAAAGTATCATCAAAGGATATTGTAAATTATTTAATAACTATTGATATTAATAAAAACGCAGATCTGTGATGGATTTCCATTAAAGTTATTGTGAACTATAACAAATACAATCGCATCTCGACTATCTATTAACTTTAATACTGGCATCGAATCTTGTGTATTTCTTAATTTAATGAAGCACAGTAAAGTAATACTTTAACTTAAATTCGATAGTACATTGGACTCCGCCAATTTTAGACCTAGTTCTGTACTACCAACACTTAGTAAAATTTTTGAAAAATTATTTTTGATCAAATTTTAATTTTTATGTAAATAATTTACTACATAAAAATTCTGTTTCACAAGAGGTCTGATCCGATTAAATATATCTTTAACGCGTGGGAGAATTCAGAGGATGCTTTATAAGTATATATTCTGTGACCTATCCAAGGCCTTCGATTGTGTTTATTATGAAACATTTATCAGGAAACTTCAACACTACGGTGTAAAAAGTGATGTTCTTAAAGTAATTACTTCATATTTAAGTAACAGAATGCCAAAAATTGTCATTAATAGTACGAAATCTTCTGGGACGATAGTACAAATGCATGTTTCAGGGTTCAATCCTCTGTCCCCTTCCGTTTCATGTATATATTAATGACATACCTCACAAAGTAGGTAATAACTATGATATAGTAATCTTTGCCGATGAAACTTCATTAATTTTCAAATTAAAGTGACAGTTACTAAATTATGACGAAGTAAATAATGCTGTATCTAAATAAGTAAATTGGTTTAATTTAAATAACTTGCATTTAAATTGCACTAAAACAAAATGGTGTGTAACATTCATAACTCTGAATGTCAAATATATTAAAACTAATGTAATTTTACATGGGGAGGAGCTGAGTCTTGTCGACACCACCATTTTGCTTGGAATCACAGTAGACACAAAGCTTCCATATATCAAAACGAGCAAGCAGACTTCTAGTTCTTCAGCATATACTGTAAAAAGTTTAAAAGTATTACCAGTGCTGAAACAGCTAGAGTAGTATACTTTAGCTATTTCCATATCATAATGTCGTATGTTATTCTGCTATGGGGATACGCGACTGACGCTAAAGTTATATTCGTTTTATAGAAGAGGGCGATTAGAGCAATCCATGATTTGAAACCTAAAGACAAAAATTTAAGGAAATTAGTACATTAACCTTTGCCTCTCAATACATTTATGAAAATGTACGTACACAAAACTAAAAGTAGTTTTATAAAAATGAGTGATATTCATTCTGTAAATACTAGGAACAGAGACAAGTTAGAAGTAGCAGTTACTCAGCTCCACCGAGTCAGTAATCGATTCTTAAGACGATGTATTTGCTTTTACAACAAAATCCTAGAACGTATACAAAATTTGACATTTACGAAGTTCAAAATATTGATTAAACTAAATTTATATAAAAAAATTATTATAATATTAAGGATTATATAAATAATATTTATCAATCTATTTCTAATTTATTTTGTTTTGTTAATTGTAACAAACATGATTATAAGCTGTTTTTTTTAAACGTCCCACTGGATTTCTTGCTGATTCTTCACAGGACAAAGGTATTTTTCCAAACCAGGGGTAAATAAAAAATAGTAACTTAAGTATTATTAATAATCCAAATTGAATAAAAAAGTTTCTGTTTCTGTTGAAAAAACGCCACTCTCTTAATTTTTGTACCGCCAAGTAGCAGTTCCTTCACTGCTTTCTTCCTGAAGGTTAGCCAGTATAATTATTACAGACTACGAAGCATCTCTCCTTAGTTCTAAAAGATGACAAAACATCTGTTGCCTTATTTGTTTGAAGTTGACTTAAGGTTGTCTATAAGGGCATGCGTCACTTCATACAAAAAAATTAAAGTGTAAAAAAGTAATGTTACCTTAATTATCGACTACAGAAATAGGAGTAACAGCCTATATCTTCATACGGCTCAGCTAAAAAAAGTACATTCAACGCGGAATTTACATTAGATTGAACTCTTCTTCTTTTAAGAAGTATTTTAAATTCTACATAATAACGAGCACAATTATTTCAAAGGAAGCATTATTTACACTAAATTATAGGCTCTCCTGTTTATCCTGACATAATGAAAATATAAATTTATTTTGAGTAAAATCATAGCACTTATTCTTATAGAAGTTTTGAGCCTTACTCCGTAGTTTGAAGTCAAGTCACGTTTAAATTAATTTCTATTTATTCATCCCGTTTAACTATTTCACTTAATTAATGACTGAACACGCTATTTATGTTTTTGCAGCTTATAGTATTAGTTTTAGCATTTTATTAATTGCTTAACAAATATTATTTCAAACCCTGAAATTTAAGGCTAGTTGTGGACAAATTACAAGTTCTTTTTTATAGGATAAGTAGTGACAAACGAGCACACAGTCCACCTGATAGTAAGTGGTTGCTGTGGGACATATAGACATCTACATCAATACTCGACTACGAATCAAAATGCAGATGCGTTGTTATCCGTGAGGATTAAGATGAAATGCCACGTTTCCAGTAAAAGGAGTCTCCGGTTCTCTACACTCACTATACAAAACACAGCAGCGATAAGCTGCTATTTTACGCTTTTCTGTGAGAAGAGAGGTTAGTTCGTAATTAATAAATATTTCTATAACTAATTTATTGTTAAAATTTCGACAATAAGTTGTTAAAATCGCCTTCATAATTATTTTTAAACAGGTATCTAATGAGGACTGGTTTAAGGTTAAGTACATATTAAGTTCTATATCTTTTCCTCGACAAAAATCGTAGTACATGTCATCAAAAACATAACCTAAAAAAAAAACAAATCTCGCAACTCAGTTCTTCTACCATAAAAAGTTGTGAGATCCATGTAATACCAAGTCGGTTAATTTATTCAGATCCTACTTAAGCGTCCTTCTGTTTTAAGTTATTACGTAATTAGCTAACCTGACAACATTTTATAGTGATCATATAAATGTTAAAAATCTTTTAATCAACATGCGTCCACTCTACACGAAACATCTCATAATTACATCATCGTATTATTAAAATTAAGATATTACGATACGACTCTATCTAGGGTTTTTTAGGAATAGGCTCATGGTTAGAATAAATCTATTTTTAAGCAATATAATTTTAAAATTTATTATACATTTTATAATATTGATTGAAACAAAAAACTTACATTGTCTAGTAGCACAAGCCCTTTTACCTAAAACTCTTCTACTCTTCTGCCGTATTGTAACCACAATAACACCATAGCAAGCGGATATTGTAAAAGCAGGTGCTACAAACAGTGATACAAAAACGCTTGTCATCCAAATTTGCCACTGTAGTTTGTTCATACTTGACCAACATTGAAGAGTACCTGAGAAATATGAAAATCGTGTTAGTGTTGCTGTACTAGTGGGCACAGGCCTACTCTCTTTTCTGAAAGGGTTATAGAGCTATTAGTCCGCACACTGTTGGCGGACTTCGCATTCCTTTAAATATTTTAACTCTAGATTTATAGCTTTCCTGGCAATGTTTGCCTAACTCCGAGCATATTGTTGATTGTAAAAAAATGTTACGTATGATAAATCAGCACACATCCACGGGGATCAGACCCTATTGCTCATTTACTTACCCCTTGCGCAAATCCGACTCATTACACATAAAACATGATACCGTTTATCATTCTTAAAGTCCCTAGCGTGGGTTCGCCATACACTTGCATATTTTATGTGGCTGCTACCTGATAAACCCACTTTCTCATCGAATGTCGCTTCTTATAGGTATTTTACCAGCCTATTGCATTTTCAACTCACTGATCTGTCACAATAGGTCAGATCCTTTTATCCTACAGAGACATTTGGACATTAGGAAACGCAAAAGACAGAAATATATTCATTAGTTACTTATTGCCCGATAACCGTGATCTTTATTCTTATATAAATAACAGCGACTTCTTTGAAAATACAACATTATGAGAGCTACTGTTGGACTGTTTATTTATCATATATTCTTCATCTTTCATTACTACGTATGTCTACTGATACATATAGTCCTGTACCCATAGACTACCTCATATGAAGGATATTTACCATGCTTAACATGTTTGGCAGTAAGGGTAACAATTAAGCTCACAGTCCACCTGATGGTAACTGGATGCTCTGTAAGAGTATATGATTGATTTTTTATAGGATAACACCTGGAAATACGATGATTGCCAGCATATTATTTCAAAATGCTTTCATATTTAATTAAAAAATATAATATTATACTCTAAATTAATGTTTAAATAAGAGGTTTTCCGGTCCTTTCCAGGACAGTATCTTTTTTCGAATCTGTGGTAAAAGCTGAAATTAATTTTCAATAATTATTCTTGTAATCTATAATCAAGTTTCTCTGCTAAGCTCGTGGTTGACTGGTAGAGAATGCCTAATTGCATTAAGTTCACCAATTGGACAATTTATGTGCAATAAAGATTTTTAAATAAAAATTACATAAATAAATAATAATTTTGGTTGTTATAATATTTAACTTATTTAAATTAAAAATAATGATAAATAATTTTTACATCAGCTTACCTTCAATATTTGCTTCATCGAATAGAAACAGCATCGGTGTGCAGAACAGAAAACTGACCAACCACGCACTTATAATTAGTGCTCTTGCGCGGCGCCCTAAAGTACAAAATATTAATAGCAATATTAAAGTGATGTAGTATTTTTTTTGTTGCTCTGTAAATATACTGGAATGGAATTATTGAGCAAATTCAAAATCATTTAATAAAAAAATTACAGCAGAATCGTACAAGTGAAATCTGAAGACAGAAATGCGAATCATATACGTTTTTTAAATTATAATTACCATAATTAAAAATCATTAAAATTACACTTAATCGCTATTTAAACGTGAACAAAGTAGCAATCTCTGCAAAGGTATATAAAACATAAAAAGAGTTCCATTTATCAATTATAACTGGCACATGCTGTTTATATAGGTCAAAAACAGGGTAGGACCTAAAATACTACGTTGTGTGTATTGACACGTTAGTGAGAAAAAGATAAAATAAAGGCAAATAATGAAACCATAAAAAAGCTATATGAAATAAAAAATACTATTTTGCGTAAAAATATATTGTAAATTTGTTTTTATTTTAAATTTATGAAAAAAAAAACAACAAAATTGAACAGTTACAACGCTTGTATATAACCCCCCCCCTGCCCGCCCGCCCCTGCCAGTGCCTCTCCATTTATAAAATGTACTTTGTACCAGTGCCCGCAGAGATATCATGTGAATGAGGAACCGTTTTCATAATTTCTAGACAGAATAAATATTAGTTTCATTTTTAGCATTCTTAAGAGATTTAAGGAGTTTTATTTCCAAAGTAAAAATGATAACTAGAACCAGTCCTGTAAATATTTTTTATCGTAATCGTTACTGGCCTGCAAAATTCACTATACCAACCACCACCACCACCGAAAATAGGTAATTATAATAATGCAATGTAATGATCAACTGCTAAACTCGACTGACTTAGCGTTTATCAATCGGTTTCAACTTTATTAGTATTTTGGGGTTGTGGTTATGATGATGTTTATTTTGGTGGTAACAGCAATGCACAAACTTATGATAAGAACGATATTGTTGTTTAAAGACAATAATAGACACTAGTTATTTTGTGTTTGGGAACGATAGATGAAAAAAATTATTTAGCTACTAGACAATGGACTAACGGATTAGTAATCTGAAGTGGCAATGGGCCGGCCATATAGCTCGAAGAACCGATAACCGATGGGGAAGAAAGGTTCTCGAGTGGCAGCCTCGTACCGGTAGGCGTAGTGTAGGGCGACCCCCCACTAGATGGAGTGACGACCTGGTAAGATATGCAGGAAGTCGATGGATGCAGGTGGCTCAGGACCGTGCTTTGTGGCATTACTTGGGGGGAGGCCTATGTTCAGCAGTGGACTTGTGAAGGGCTGTAATGATGATGATGATGATGATGAGACAATGGATCCCAAGAAGCATTTTACATACTCGTAATATTCCTTAATTAAAGAGCAGAAGGTAATGTACCTCAGGGAAAAACTATAAGCAATTTCGAAGAGAGAATCTTAATAAATATAATCGACAAAAATATGAAACATTACGCTTTCATCTTAGTAAAAATATAACAAATGAGTTGTTGTCAAGCACCGGCTGATAAATAAATAAAAACAAACAAGGAATACGTTATAACAACATATTCCTTGTTTGTTATTGTATTTGGCAGTAGTTACAAGTGTAGTTACAAGTCTCCCATCGAGTACTGTTAGTGTTGTAAATGTTACAGCCTATATACGTCCCACTGCTGGGCACAGGCCTCCTCTCATTTCTGAGAGGGTTTTGGAAATGTCCGCCGCGCTGCCCCAATGCGTGTTGGCGAACTTCTCATGTCTTTGAAATATTATTTTAACTTCTCAAACATGCAGGTTTCCTCACGATATTTTCCTTCACCGCCGAGCAAGTGGTAAATCAGCACTTAAAATTGCAATTAACAATTTCATTGGTACAGGCGTGGATCGAACTCGGGTAGCTTGCGTAATGTGACTTTACAGCGAGTGCTAATCAACTGAGCTACCACGACTCACCACGGGGGTTGCGGAGTTTAAAAAAAAGTTGTATTCAGAATTGTGGGACTATAAAAGTAAAGTAAAAGTAAATTTACAGCCTATATACGTCCCACTGCTGGGCACAGGCCTCCCCCTCATTTCTGAG